CAACCCCCTGAATTTCCCATCATGCTCCTGCCCTAGGGGTTTCTGTTTGTGCAATGAAGGATTCCCCACTGGAATCCCATCTTCTCCCTTCACTTCCACAGGGAAGTCTCTCCCATCTCCACTCCCTACTCTCTCCTTACGTGAATTACAATGAGCAATTTATGTTTGCTAGTTCACATTATCTGTGAAGTGCAGAAGGAACATTTTTTTTAGTATCTTCCTTTGTCAGTTTTGATACTGACAGATTTCTGATCGAGGACTGGGTAAGGGGCAAGGACCTGGAGAAGAAAGAAGAACACAGATGATCACAGGTTATGGCGATGGCTTTGGGAATCTGCCTGCTGGTGAGACACACTCATGTGGCAACTGTGACTGCAAAGCAGGCTGAAGTCAGTCTGGAGACCAGGAGAAACGTTATAAATTCAGGGGTAACCAGAATAGCATGGAGACTTTTGTTCCAGAGAGGCGATCAGACACAGAAATATAAAGATGCCGTGATGTGGGCTGGGGGTTATTCTGTGGTTGTCTTGCCTCACATGCACTGGGCCCTGGGTCCAATCCTCGGCACTGGAGGGAAAAAAGGTGTAGCCACTTGTAAGTTGCTCACAATCAGTAAATAATCTCATGCCCATGTGGAGGGAGAGCCACTGTATTTAAATTCATCATTTTATACTATGAATATAGGCTAATATATTTCTTAAAGGAAAATAGGTGTCATATACAAAACAATTCACAAAAGAACAAATAAAAATATAACATGCAAACATAGTGGCTTCTTCTAAAATAAAATGTCAATATAAACAGGCAATGGTCTTTTCCATGGAGATAGACAAAACATGACATTGCTCAGGACCTGAGGGAGTGGTTCTGTCACACTGGTCCCAAGAATGAAGCTGTGTGGTCTTGCAGGAAAGCAGCTGAGGGATATATTACATGTGCAATGAGTGTAGTGTTTGACTCAGATCCCAGATCTTAGTTAAAAGGATCTAAAAGGGGAATCAAACAATCTCAACAACATGTATCTCAAGTAATTCCCACCATGTTCCTTAATACTAATGAAGATTTGGGAAGAACTTACCTGTCTTATTGAGGATTAAGTTGCAGTGTGTTTGTGAAATGGATTTGTGCAGTTGTTCCACGGAAGGGCGTGTGGCAGACGATGGTAAACTATGGCTTCGGGTGAACTCTAGCTCACAGTCTGGTTTGTTAATAAGTTTTATAGCCACCCAGCCAGCCACAGTCATTAATTTACATGCAAGGTGCCAGGCGGTTGCTCTTACAATGGCAGGATTAAGTATTTGTAACAGAGACTGGAGGACTAGTGGCCTGAAGTGTTCAGTATCTTTTCCTTTTTTGTTTTTATTACTACTTTTATTTTTTTGAGATTATAATATAATTACATCATTTCCGTTGTCCCTTTCCTCACTCCAAACTCTCCCATGTTCTCTTTCAAATTCGTGATCTTTTTCATTAATTATTGTTATATATATGTATTTTATATACATACATATATGTGTTAATACATAAATACAACCTGCTCAGTCAGTAGAATATTGTATGCGCATATATTTTTCAGAATTGACCATAGGTATTGGATAACCAGTGGTGTGCTCTCCTGGGAAGACTGTGTCTCCAGCTGTCAGCATTTTTAGTTATCTGTGGTTCTTTTTGTAGGCTTGAGGCTTTGTGGTCTTCCTCGGCCCACGTTAGTGCGTCTGTTGGTGCTGTCCTTGTTCAGCTCGTTTAGTCCGTCCTGTCAATGAGAATTTACGGGTGTAGCTTCTGTCATTACTAGAAGACACAATTTCACAGCAAGCCTTGTCCTCTAGCTCTTACACTTCCCACCCCCTGGACTCTAAGGGAGTTGTCCTGTAGGCGTGTCTGCTGGGGCTGTGACTCTGCATTTTGATTGGTTGTGGTTTTCAATAATGATCACCATTTGTTGCAAAGAGCAAATTTCCTTGATAAGGGTTAAGAACTCTACTCATCTGTGGATGTAAGGACAAATTTTAGACTGTAGTGAGGGACTGTATGGTTCAATGAAGTGACAGCTGCAGGTTCCTTCACTACCCATGCCATCACTAGCCCTGGGTAGAGCAGGCAAGTTTGCTTGCTTCAAATGTATAGCTACATTCATTGACATGAAAACTTCTCTGTGACACGGAGTAGGAAAAATAAGGGTCCCAAAGTGCAGGCGTAGTATTATCCCTGATGTGTAAAGTCATGTGGGTGGAAGGTCATATGCTAAAATCCATAAGTTGTGAGACTTTTTTAAGCCTCTTCACATTTTGTATGTTTTCTGAATCCTAAATGGACAATAAAGTTACCTTCTTAAGTTAAAAAGCAAACAAGAGATGTCTGCATAAAAACATGGGTAAATTCTACAATGAGTTTTGGAGCAGATGGAACTTGAGTTGGTAACTCACATAAGCGGAAGCAGCTGCTGAACTGACGTAGAGGACCCTCAAAGACCTGCAAGATAAGGCCTGTTTAAACTGTCTTGAGTTTTAAATTAGCAAATCTTAAACCCACCAGTATCTGGTAGAGGCCCAAATAAGCTATTCATAAATTTCTGATGGCCTCATAATGTGTGATTTTAGAGAATATGGTGGTAACATTTTGGTACTCTCCAGTACGCTCCTTGGACTTCTGCATCTTTAAAGTACACTTTGAAAGATGTTTATCTTTTATGACCATACACTTCTAAGATCTTCCATTTGGAAAAGACTAGATACATTGAGCTTTTTGAACAGCATAAAATAATTTTGGAATAAATGATGTAAATGGTGTCTTGGTCACTATTCTGTTGCTGTAAAGAGACACCAGGACCAAGGCAAGTCTTATAAAAAGAAGCATTTAATTGGGGCTGGCTTACAGTTTCAGAGCATTATGTCCATTATCATCGTGGCAGGGAGCATAGCAGATGCAAACAGACATGGTACTGGAGGAGCTAAGAGTTCTACATCCTGATTCATAGACAGACAGAGAGACACTGGCCCTGGTATGGGCTTTTAAGAACGTCAAAGCCACCTTCAGTTACACACTTCCTCCCACAAGGCCATACATACTCCAGAGGGCCACACCTCCTAATCCTTCTCAAGTAGTGCTACCCACTGGTAACTAAGCATTTAAATATATGAGCCTACGGGGCCCTTCTTATTCAAGCTGCCACAAATGTAAAACCTGCCAAGGACCATATTTCATATGGAGATAGAAGTCTCTATAAGACGATATGCAGAGCTGAGGTAGATGTGAACAGTGGACATGGAAGGAGGATACACAGCATCCACTCCAGAGAACAGTGCTTCAGACATGTGTACAGTTAACCATGCACTCGCCAAACACCACACAGCAGTTTCACCTACACACTTACTTTTCTGCAGCTGGTAACAATAGCTTTCGTTTGCACAAAGAGCATGTGTCAGTGTATGTAATGATTCTTTTCCTAATGGTCAAACATGGAAAACATCTCCAGTGCTCCTCAGAAGCTGAGCAGATGAGTGTGATCTGCTCATACAGCAGGACACCGAGTGGGGTGAGCAGATGAGTGTGATCTGCTCATACAGCGGGACACTGAGTGGCACAAAGGAATGCTACTGATTCCCATGGGGACTGTGTAGTTGTACTTCTTTTTTTTTTTATCAGGATCATCAGTTCCCCAATAATGACACAGAGACATTAATTATGAAAGCTTGGCCTATAGCTTAGGCTTATTCCTAACTAGCTCTTATAACTTAAATTAACCCATATTTTTATTAGTCTACATTACCACGTGACTTTTACCTCTTTCCCATTTTGTGTGTCCAACTCATGCCACATCTGTCTGTCTTCTCCTGGCGTCTCTGCCTTTCTTCTTCCCAGCTTCTTCTCTGCCTGGAAATCTTGCCTGGCAATTGGCTGTTCAGCTTTTTGTTAAACTTCTAACAGTTACATATTCTCACAGTATGCAAAAAGATTATCCCACAACAGGACTTGGTTGAATCATAAAAGTAGTGGGCAAGTAAAAGACAACAGTCTCACAAAGAATGGGGAAGGATGTTCAGTGAGGCTGGAGAAGAGCTACTTGGGTAAAGGTGGGTGTACTTGCTAAGAGTGGAGCGGGTGGGATGCCGAGCGATAGAACTGCATCCTAGGCACAGGTGCCAGTTCTATGGCCCACAGCTCACTGAACTCTATGCCAAACCCCAGCTAAAGTGGCTGTAGGTTAGTTTTAAAATTAAATAATTTATGGAAAAATGGAAGATGAGGCACTAAATTACAGTGTCATTTAAGAGTATGATACTGTGGACAATTTTTGTCCTTTTTTGTTTCAAATTATTTTTGTAAGTAAATATATGTTTATAACCTGACCTTTTTAATGCTCTAACATCACCGTGGTGTGAGGATTGCTGAAAGAACTGTTAGCCTTTTGCCCTGGAGTAACCACTGGAGATGCCCCGCATCTGGACAGTGTTCAGGAGTCTGTGTATGCAGCAGGTACAGTGGGCAGTTCCCTTCAGGAAGCAGAAGCAATCATGAAATGAGTGTTTGGGGAAGGAGTACTGGGAATCAAATCTTGGCCTAGTGTATTCTAGGTACCTGCTCTCACTGACCTACATCCCAGCCATCTCAAGTCTCCGCTGACACCAAGTCAATGAAGCCATGTCATAAGGTGCCACATGTAAACCTGTTGTCTCAATTGTGTCCGTAAGTTCTTTCTTCCTAGAAGGTAAAAAGGTTCATGGAAACTTTTCTGTTTACAAAGAGGCAGCTGAGGCCCAGGGACTCTCAAGCAAGCAGTGGCATGAAGCATCGTTTGTTTCTGTTTTTCTCTTAGGCAACAGGGTGTACTTCTTGATTGTCAGCTAAGTTTGATATAAATGGCAATATTGACCCTTTTTTCCTAAATATCACTTGAAATCAAGTCCTGGTATATGTTTGGAGAGGGACAAATGTTCCTTCTTGTTGAGAATTCACCAGGGCTTTGGCTAAAGTGAGATCCCCCACCTGTCTTTCCACAGGATTTTGTACTGCACCCTGATTCTACCTCTGCACTACCTCGAACCCTTCTTCTCATACATCTTCCTCAACCTCCAGCTCATGATCCTGCAGGGCCTTCACCTCTACTGGGGCTACCTCATAATGAAGATGCTCAATCGATGCATATTCATGAAGGTAAGTCCTCGCCAGTCTGAGCCATTCCTAAAGTGTGGTCTCAAAGGCCACAACAGAGGTGAGGTCCAGACGGCGGAACACTGTGTTCATCATCATTTTGTTTGCTCTATTGATTAACCAAGAATAGAATCTAGGCCCTTATTTTGTTATGTTCTACAGCGAGGCTATATCGCTACACAGTTGGAGTGAATGTCAGTGAGTATAAAACTGTGAGCACATTTTTAACCAGAATTATTTTGTTTTCTTGATTGTTGAGGTGCTGGGGATCAAACCCAGAGCCTTGCACATGCTGGGTGGTGCTCCACCAGTGAACTGTTGTCCGGGTTTTATGCCAAAGATGCTCTCTATAAAATCAGATTTTTCGTGAGTGGGTCTTTGCTTTGGGGGTTCGGGGTGCAACTTGGCAGTAGTGTGCTTCAGACATCTCTAGCACTGAAGAGGAAGAAAGAACTTTATTAGAGCATGTGATGGTTGGAATTTTAAACTATTTATGTATGCATGTGTTGTCTGCATGTATGTGCAGGCCATAGGAAGGCATCAGATCCCGTTATAGATGGTTGTGAACGCCATGTGGTTGCTGGGAATTGAACTCTAGACCTCTGGAAGAGCAGCCAGTGCTCTTAACTGAGCCATCTCTCCAGCCCCAATAGTTGGATTTTTTAATTCAAAAGTATGACTGCTACTTCGAGAATCCCTTGAGTCAGCATTTGTTTTGTGTATACAGTTGCTCATGTATATGTGTGTGTGCAGCGGCACATGTGTATGTGTGTGTATGTAGCTGCAAATGTGTATGTGTGTGTATGCAGCTGCACATGCATATATATGTGTACACAGCTGCACGTGTGCATATTAGTGTATACAGCTGCACATCAATCACAATCAGCTTCCTTAATCATTCTCCACCTCAACTTTTTCTTTTGAGACATGGTCTTTCACTGACCAGGAGCTCACTCACTTGGCTACACTGTTAGGTCAATAGGCTCCGGACTCTGCCTTCTCAGTGCTGAGATTACACATGTGTTCCACTGCTTTGTGCAGCTTTTATATGGGTGCTGGAATCTGAACTCAAGTTTTCATGCTACAAGCCATCTCCTCACCCCAGATAAGCTTGTTGAGATGGGTGAGTAATAAATATGTCAGAGCCTTATATTTCTCCGCTGAACATCCAGTTTGCATGTGACGCTTTTTTCCATGAGGTTGCTTCTGCTTTTGGAATATTGCCCATCATTTGGCTGTACTTTTTTGAAAACAGCTTTGCTAGATACAGCCCCACATTGCTTAACTACAGATCATATTCACAGATGCATTGCTAGATGATTAAGTCATTGTGTGAACTCACACATACTCAGGCTATATGGTATAACCTACAGCTCTTAAGGGCGAGATGAACACAACATCATGAAGTTTTGTTAATTGAAACAGAAGATAAAAATGACAAGAGATGCTAAAAATGGAAATGTATGAGGCTGGGTTAAAGGAATATAACTATGCCTTTACAGTATGCTTCTGTATAAATATGGAAAGGGTTTCACTGTTTATAATGATGAAAGCGATAAAGCAAATACATAAACAAGTAGCATTCACTCATCATCATCATCAAGTTCTACATATCATGCATAATTGTCTCTGCTGTAATTTTATGCACACAGCAGTACAGTAGGGTTGCTCACACCGGCATCACCCCACATATGCAAATAACATTCTGTGCTTGAGTGTCAGGATGCCTACTGCCCCCATTGGCTGACAGGGGGCTCTTGTCATTTTCATTGTGATCTTACAGGACGAGCAGGGTATGTGTGATTGGAAATGAACAAAAGGTGGTTATGTAATACATGGCTAGAATACAAATTCCTAATACTTTTTTTGATTTTTGGCAGTTTACATTTATTTTGCATTTTATCTGTACTTTATATCAGAAACAGTGAGGGCAGGACTTGAGAAATGCACAAGGCTCAATCACTGACTTAGGGAAGTAATCCACTCCTTAGCAACAATTACAGTGTATGAAATGGAGTGTGCTACACAGTGGTCCCAGGCAAAAGCCATTGATTCAGGACCAGAGCAAACCACTGAGTGCTGGGATTTGAGCTGGACACTGAACACAAGTAAAGAAAGTCAGTCCTGACTCCCTGTGACTGAAGGAATCTTGCTAAGCATCTTTCAGGATGATAGCTGGAGCTGGTCCCCTCTGGGATGCCACCACCTGTGTATGACAGCCTCTTCTCACCAATGAAGAATTATGTGTACAAGTAGCTGCATTCTGAGTAATAAATTCATTTGTATCACATCTGGTTTATTTGTTTTCTGCTTTAGTAAATTTATCTGAAAGGCTGCTGAAGAGTGGACAAATCACGTGCTCATTGCACTCACTGGCGCCTGAGCTCTCAGCCATCTCTAGCCTCTGAACCTGGGCCACATCTGGATCAATGTTTTAGGCTGGCTTGCAACTCATTATGTAGAGCAGGTTTACTTCAGGCTTACAGAGATCCTCCTGCCTCTGCTTCCTGTGTGCCAGGATTAAAGGTACACTTGTTACCCTTGCAGGCTTCTTGAAAACTAACTTTCCCCCTAAAGCTGGAGCGCTAAGAAATTAACTTTTACTGAATGTTGTAGATCAGTGTTCTAGCTCTTATGAATTCCAAGCATTTTCCTATGAAAATGGTACCTCTGCCTGACAGGCAAAGTTGAAGAGCAGAAATGAGGATCCAAGCTGGACAGTTAACTGATGTTCGCAGTAGTTGCTATAAAAGGGGGCCTTCAGCTAAACCTGTCATCCCTTCTGGCTGAGCCTTCCTAGACCTCCCGTTCTTGTAAAGAAACAGGCCTCACATTAATTGGTGGGTGACGGTATTCCAGGTCTGGCAGGAAGCCAGGGTGGGCACACTTGGACGCCAGTGGAAACCCTTGTTTGGTTTCCCTGTGCCCTTCACAATTCTGATGTCTAATAGGTCATGCCAGGCCAGATTAGAAATGTAGCAGCCTGGCAGCCTGTGAGCAAGAATCCCTGGTTTCCCATGCCATACTAGGAAAAGCTCTTTCCAAATGCAATTTGAGGGTAGTGTGGCCCTGCAGCCCTAATTCTTGCTGCGCTTGACTTCAGCTGGCTTACACATGCAGTCTCTTTTCTGCTGCAGTGGCGAAACTGGCTGTGAAACCAGCAAGCTCCTCCAAAGCCGTAAAGCCTCCTTTTAAAGAGGCATTGAAGGCAGTGTTGCATTGCAAGGGGAGAGAAGGAGCTGGAAGTCCTAGAGGAGCAAGGAAACCAACTGCAAGCCGTTTCAAAGGCAGTTAGTGTTTCATGCAAACTCTGTTGTTTCTAAGCTGATTGATTCTTAAATACATTAAAAATGGAAGTCAGAAGTTTATAGACCTCCACAAATGTCTTCTAAGTCTCCCTCCCTTCCTCCCTCCCTCCTCTCTCTCTCTCTCTCTCTCTCTCTCTCTCTCTCTCTCTCTCTCTCTCTTTTTCTTTCTTTCTTTTTTTCTCCATGTAACAATCTTGGCTGTTTTAGAACTCACTTTGTAGACCTTGAACTGGTCTTCAACTCACTGAGATCCACCTATCTCTGCCTCCCAAGTGCTAGGATTAAAGACGTGTGCCACCACTGCCCAGCTAAAATGGGCAGTTTTCTGATGAGCTACCAACCCACACACATCGTATGAGGAAACATGACAGGCTGACACATTCATCTTGTCGTTCCCCATGAAAACATGAGAGTGCTTTTAGAGGAAGTTGAACACAACATGGCAGGCACACTTGTGTAGCATGGATTTGATCATCCTTAAGCTCTTGTTTTTTCTCTCTAAATGTTATCATGGGTCCTGGCCAACTCAAGCTTGTCTCTGTGACATCCTGTGTTGGTGAACAGCCAGGACAATCAGGAGGAGCCAGAGAACACAGCCATCATAGCCAGGTTGGGGATGCTATCCCCTTGGCAACCTGGCCCAACATCTTTAAACTAACACTGTCTGACTGGTAAGTTCCTAGAGTGACACTCTGTAAGCTCTGCCCTGAGTTGATGAATAGTGGACCAAGTTAGTTACCATGAGGAAACTGAGGCCTACATGGGATTTGCACAGTGATGTCAAAACAAAGCCAAGGCCAGAGATGAAGTCCCTCATGGGGTAAAATGTCACTCGTGTCTTCTTTTTCATTTGAATTAAGGGTAGAAAACTGGTAATAGAAAAGTAAGGGAAAATACTTGCATGGAGTCAAAAATAGCAAGCACATAAAAATACCAAGTCCTCAAAATATGAGATTAAAAGGCGCACAGGGCCAAGGAGGTGACTCAGATGGCAGAACTCTGCTGTACAAGGGTAAGGCTCTGAGTTCAACCCTGATTCCATATTAAAGTGTCAGCACACGCCTGTAATTGGTACTGAGGAAATGGCAATAGGAAGATTCCCAAGAGTCACTAATCATCCCGGAGAGCTGAACTGGACCCTGTGTCAGAAAACAGCCAGCCAGCTCCTGTGGAATAACATCCAAAACTGTCTTCTGGAGACCACATGCAGGAACGCACATGTGCACAGGCATACATGCGTACACACGCACATGTGTGAATGGACAACCCCATAAACACAAACTAATAAAAATAGAATGTAATTCATCACACATTCTTTAATTTACTTTTAAACTTATTAAAAGCCTAAGAAATGCTTTCTTAGTTATTTTTATTCTTAATCCCTTCTGTTTAAAGTAATCAAGTGGTCGAGAACACAGGCTCTTCAGAGTCCATTCCAACTCTCCCGTTTCCTGACCATGTGATCATGGTCCTGTTGCCTCAGTGTCCTCATTGGTAAGCTGGTGACAGAGTAGCTGTTCACACCATGTTGGTGTCACCAGGAGCACGCTATGGCCTTGCTGCTGTCACCACTGGCACTGCTCCTTCAGCAATGTCCTTCCTACTGACACACAGAGGGCCGTTTGAGGCAAGTCGGCTGACAGTTGGCACCCAGGCAGGCCTCTCGTTTGGCTTCTACAGGCTGTGCAACAGCTG